GAAACCCTTCAAGTTCCTCCGATGCCCTCGCAGCCCGAAACCCTAAGCCCCGAGACCAGTGATCTGGTCGCTAGCGTGAGAGGCACCATTTGTGGTCGACCCAGTAGCGCACCGAATGGCCAGATCTATAAGGTCCGGGCCCCTCGTGTGGGACCCTCCACGAAGGAAGAGCGAGCCACGAGCGAGAAAATTGGAAGGCCGAAAGCCCCAAAGCCCCAAAGTGTTGAACGCCGAATAATTGAAGCTTTTTTATTGAAGAGAAAAACGCCCTCACCATTGGGAGGGGGGGCAGCTCCTTACGGGGCCCCGAGCTGTGAATTCTGTTCACCTACGCTTTGTGTGCTGCTCCCTTTGAACTGTCAGCCTCAGACCCACCGAAAAGCCCTGGGGGCTGTAGGTGAGAACTCTCAAGACGAAGGTCTCGATAAACCCTCTCAGGACCCAAAAAACCCCATGCAAAACCCCTAAGCCAACAGACCAAACCTTAAGCCCGCTGAAGCCCCTAGACCGCAAACCCTAAGCCCTAATCCCTCAACCCTAAACCCTAGACCCCAAACCCTAAACCCTAAACCCCGAACCCCAAACCCCTCCTTCAAGCAGGCCGACGTTGCCCACCAGCTATCTCTTGTGGAGGGTCCGGACCTCATTGGCCTGAAGACTCTCGCGGTCGTGGCTTCTTGGGGTTCAGTGGATGGCTTTGTAGGTTCATGCGTTTAGGGTTTAGGGTTTAGGGTTTAGGCGCTTGGGATTTTTGCCACCCTAACCTCCAAGTAGGGTTTAGGGTTTAGGAGAAGTCCCGTGTCCAACCCCACCCTTTTCAGTTCTTGCACTCTGCAGTTCGAAGCAACCCAGGCCCCTGCAAGGATCCAAAAAGCAGATCCCTTCAAGGGTTCCTAAGAATGACCCAATAGTAGTATAGGGTACTATTGGGGGCTTCTACTTTTTGTATCCTCCCACAGGGGTCTGGGAACTGTCTTGGAAACAGAGGCCCAATCGAGAGCCGGTAGTAACTAGTTTTATAAGCCCTGAACCGAGGACGAATCTGCGGGCCAGGGAGGGTAAAGCCTCCCTGGCATGCCCTTGCGGCCTGAACTTACCTGCTTCATACACGACCATAGCGTAGCTATAAAGTATTACCCGTCGCCTCTTGGAGACCCTGTCGGCAGGCCCGCAGCAGGGGCCGGTCGAGGCTTCTGCTACCCCCTACAGTTTTTGCTGCCCATCTGGCTGAGAACAAGAGCCTCCCTTGTTTGGGGCGTTGGGGGGTAGAACCCTACTAGGATGCCCACTAGTACCCATATTCCCTTTTAGGTTCCCTTATAAACCCCTTTAAGCAAAAAAGGGCACCCTTCTTCATCCTAGGTTACGGGGCAACCTAGCCTAAACCCTAGTTGAGAATAAGCAGGGGGGTTGGGGTGGGGCATCATAGCGGCGCAAGGCGAGCGGCCTGGGTGCTTTTAGCACCAGCGAGCCACTTTTCCTGCACGCCCTAAACCCTAAACCCTAAACCCTAAACCCTAAACCCTAAACCCTAAACCCTAAACCCTAAACCCTAAACCCTAAACCCTAAACCCTAAACCCTAAACCCTAAACCCTAAACCCTACCCTAACCCTAAACCCTAAACCCTAAACCCTAAACCCTGAACCTGAACCCTGAACCCTGAACCCTAAACCTAAACCCTAAACCCTAACCCTACCCCCTAACCCTAAACCCTCAAACCCCAACCCCTAAACCCTAAACCCAAAACTCTGGAAAGTTTGGTGATCGGAGCTCAGGCCTTTCAGAGCCTCTCGCGAAGGCCCGACTGAGACTTTTTGTTCTGGGTTGGGAGGGGGTGAGGGGGGGGGGGCTGGACTTCTTTTTGGATTTAGGGCTTAGGGGTTTAGGGATTTTCAGGTTTAGGGGTTTAGGATTTAGGGTTTAGGGTCTTAGGGGTTTCGGTTGTAGGTTGAGGGTTTAGGGGTTGCGGAATTGGCAGGTCAGGGCATTTTGGGCGGTTCAGGAATGTAGGGTATTGGGCATGTGTGCGGCCCCGTTTCGGGTGCAGTGTTTAGGGCTGAAGTCATGATTTCTCGCCCCTGTTTAGAGGGTTTGGTCAAGTAGAAAGGGGTTTAGGGTAAACCCTAAACCCTAAACCCTAAACCCTAAACCCTAAACCCTAAACCCTAAACCCTAAACCCTAAACCCTAAACCCTAAACCCTAAACCCTAAACCCTAAACCCTAAACCCTAAACCCTAAACCCTAAACCCTAAACCTAAACATGGATCTCTCAGAGTCCAATAGTCAGTCATCTGGCGTTGACTTATCTGGCTTGCGGCTGAAGTAAATGCCATCTAGTGAATTCTCTAAATTAGGGTCCCTTTTTGGGCACCCTAAATCTTATCATAAGGACCCCAAAAGGGACCATAACTTAGAGAAATCACCATATGGTAGCTTGCTTCGACGTTCTCAGGCAGCAGCCCGGAAACCGTTCCAGCAGTCCAGAAACTGCGAAACCGCAGCGGGGAAACCAAAAGCCGCAAGTAAACCCTCAACCTTGAACTTTGGGGCTTAGGGTTTAGGGTTTCGGGTTTGGGGTTTAGGGTCTAGGGACGTTCCCCGTCATACTACCAGTCCTTAGTAATTAGATAATAAGGGGCTACGATAATCCCTATAAAGGCTTGTTAGTATAAGGAGAATCTCCCAACCTGTATCCTGACTCGTAAACATCAAAGAACTCTGTTCTCCCTCGGGATGATGTTATATGCTTACGTGTTTACGCGTATGTATGTATGTATGTATGCCTCTATGTATGTATTTACGTATGTATGTATGTATGTAGGTATGTATGTAGGTATTTGTTTTCAGAAGCCCTGAGAGAACGGGGGGAGCTGTAGAGCAAAGCCCAGCCCAAACCCCAAACCCCAAACTCCGAGCCCCAAACCCCAAACCCCAAACCCCAAGCCCCAAGCCCCAAGCCCCAAACCCCAAAACCCCAAAACCCCAAAACTCCAAAACCCCAAACCCCTAAACCCCTAAGCCTGTAAACCTCCAAACTTTTGAATTCTAAGCCCTGCATCCTACGTCCGAGCAGCCCATCATCACCGCAGTCTAAGTTCTACTTGAAGGTTCATGGTACTTACTAACCAATTATAACTGTACTTATAACCCTACTTATAAGTGGGATAACCCCTATAAGGCCCCTTATAATTGGTTAGTAAGCACCATGAACCTCCAAGTAGGCGGCTCTTGATTGGCAGGAAGACCTTCGCTTGTGGATTGAGGCAGCGGCAAAGGATGTAGGGTATAGGGAGAACTACCATTTGCTTAAGATCCCCGCCCCCAAAAAAATCTGAATAAAGCAAAAATATCACATATATATATATATGTATTTATAAACACACATATATAAGAGCCCTTGATAAAGATTGTATGTTTTTTGGGGGGGTTCTTGAGTAATGAGTAGATTAGGGCACAGGGTTTGCAGCTTCCAGGGCCCGCGGGCTTTGTGTGGGGCTTGTAGGAGTTCCCCTACTACCCCCCTCTATATTACCCCTCCCCCCCCCCCTAGGTTCCCCCAGAATTAAGGCTCTTTAGGGCTAACTAAGCTCAATTCAGGGGATTTAAGGGGGGAACCCAGAATTGTAAGGGTTGCGCGAGTTTTCGGGGGCGTGCCCTGGACCCTGCCCCAGCAGCCAAAACCTTCGTTGCTGCGGGGAGGGGTTTGGGGTTTGGGGTTGGGGGTTTGGGGTTTGGGGCTTGGGTTTGGGGTTTGGGGTTTAGGGTTTAGGGTTTAGGGTTTAGGGTTTAGGGTTTAGGGTTTAGGGCACCATGCAGCTGGCATGAGGAGGAGTGGAGCAGCTTACAGGGAGTCTGCTTTCAGTGCTTTTGGGACTCAGCTTCTCTTCTAAACCCGAAGCCTTAAAGCCCCAAAGCCTTACGCCTTGGGATGTTCCCCCTTATACTAACAGTCCTTAATCCGGATTATCGTAGGGGGTACTAGAATCCCTATTTAACGACTGTTAGTAAAAGGGGGAACATCCCAACCCAGAAGGCCTAGTACGTACCCTAAACCCACTTGTTGGTGGTCACGTCTTATTTGCCGAGTCCAGGGTTCTGATTGCAAGTAGAGGGAGCCCTTGGCTTGAAATCTGAGAGGTGGCTTGGTAACATAGAGCCTTGTGCCCAACGCCGGGTGCCTTTGCGATGCCCTGGGTTTTGTTGTTCGCTTTGGTGCCTGGCATGTTTCTTCCTCCCCTCGGAGTCGCGCAAAGGTGAGGAAACCTACGAACCACAGCATTTCAGGAAGCTGTTCTGCAACAGCTTCACAGAGAAAGATGTGGGTGAGGGCTACGCACTTACGGACCTAGCCGACGATTCCGGAAGCTCGCACGTGGACTTCAGCAAGCAGTGCATGCAGTGCAATGCAAGCATTATGTGTCCAAGCTCCTCGCTGTATGTGCGGGCAACCCCAGCTCAATGGAAAGAGCCGTTGTGCTGTGAGGTAAAGTCGCTCTGCATGTGTCCCGAGGGAATGACCCAGACCTCATGCACAGCAAATGGTTTGGAAAGCCTAGTCCCAATTTACGACTTGTTCGTTGACAACGTTGTGGTGTGGGAGATGCGTGGCAACAGCACGCAGCCAGCCACATTCACAAATTTCTTGCCGCTGCCACGAAATGCACCGTTATGTACATGGCTGACGGCCCGGTATCGAAAATATCAGAAGCAAAGACATTATTAGATGCAGCAATCTCGCAGTTGCAGAAGATAGCGCAGGTGCTTCCCAGCAGCCACGTGGAGAAGATGCTGTCACAAGTTATTTCTTGGGGTCAGCAACTTTAGCAGCATGTCCCTGGCTAAGTTCCGCAGACAGGCAGCGGAGCAGGCAAAACGGTTTTGCGTGCAGATCTACCGCGAACTGCGGACGTCGGATTTGTTCATCCAAGTCGCTCGCGATCTGAGCGGCACAGGATACAACAGCAAGTAGAAGAGGCTTTGGCTAAGCTCGATGCCGTCATGCAAGTAGCGGACAAAGTCTTGCCTGTCATAGCTGTTGCACTGGGTGCTATAACCATTACGACCGACATGTATGACGACATCGAGTATCCTTGTGGCTGCTGCACTGTGCCTGACTCCGCATTCCTACCACTTGCCCAACAACCCGAGCAATCCACTCCCGCATCTCACAGATTGGCATTGGAGTCCGAACAGCTTGCTGCATACATGGCACACGTTCAAGGTCTGAAGAAGCTTGGTACGTTGACTGGCCTATCGGATAGCCTGTCAAAGAGGCTGACTTTTGCAACATCTTGGACGGTCTCTGCAATGGCGTTCAACGTTGCAGGGCTGGCTGTGTGGTACCTCGTGTGGCATCGTGAAGCATTGAGGGAGCGGAGCATTTCCTTGTCTTCTCCGCTCATTGGCTGAGTGTGTCTGTTTCCGGAGCCTGCTGGCACAGGTAGGCCTTCCGTCATTAGAGAGGGCTCTGCAATGTGTTGCAGGATGTAAAGCCAGTGCCACCCTTCCCGAACGGCCTCACTTATCCTTTGCGTTGCAGAGTACCAGTTGAGGCGACCCGGAGGCGAGAATTAGAGGCTTGCATGTGGGTAGCTTCCTATGTTAGGGTCCTTTTGGGTCCCCATCATAGTATGGCACCGGTATAAAAAGTGAGGTTCCCCCAAAAGGACCCTAAACCACCCGTGCACATGCGATGAAAAGGATGGGCACCTTCCACGTGGATGGCGCACACGCAGCCATTGCAGCTCGATCGCCCGAATCACAGCTCTATCCGTCATCGACGGTTACTTGAAAAACTCGCTGCTTCTGTGATGATTGGGTGCCTGCGTGGATTTTGAAGAACTGTTCCCATATGTCTAGTCTGTGACCCTCACCTCACTCTTCACCGCCCCCTGAATCCCTAAACCCTAGCTTTGCAGACTCTCACCCCCACGCACGTGGTCGCGGCGGAGGGCTACACCGCGCCAGTTCGACAGGCTTGGGCGAAGGGGTTGAGGGATTCAGGGCTGGAGTTTAGGGGGTTTCAGGGGCTGGTTGTTTCAAACGGTTTTCTCCTTTGCAGTATGCTTCTTTCAGGCTTAGCATGTAAGGCAGTTTAGCGCCTTAGGGCTGTAACAAAAATTAAAGTCTTCGGGTTCGGCGTTTTGAGGGCTTGGAGTTTCAAGGCACCCAACACCTGGACACTCCTGAGCTCGTATGAGCGTTCCGATGAGTTAGGATGTCTTCCCAAACCCTGGGCGGTTTTCCAAACCCTTTGTGCTGTTAAAGGAGCAGTCCTAAGGTTACAGGGCGATGAGGGTGCCTAAGGGAGGGGGGTTCCAAGGGGGGTGATGCAACCCAAGGTTCCCTAAAACTCCCCACTAAGGCCCCCACCAAGCTTCCCTATCATTCCCTAGGTACCTACCCCCCATGAACCCCCCTTCCGTAATTATGGACCATGTTTTTAAGGGGCATTGTTGTCCCTGTCGCTGCTCCCAAGTCGGGTGGGGATTGGGCTTGGAACCCTTTCGTCGTCAAGATTTGCGCGGAAGGTCTTCTCGAAAGGGAGCCGTGAAGGGGAGTGCCCTAAATCCTAAACCCCAACCCCCCCCCCCCCCTCACCCTAAACCCTAAACCTTAAGCCT